GAGGGAGGTGTAGGTAGGGCCTCGCCATCTGTACGTGTCTCTTCTGGAGCCGCAAGCGCAGTTGGGGGCACCTCGGTAGTGTCCAAGTCCCCAACCCTGCGCCTAAGCTGGTCTATGTGCCGTCGCCACAAGCGTCCGTCTTCGAGTGCCACCTGGTACGAGCGAGGTCCAGTGACTCCCACTACTGTGGCTGGCACCCAAGGGATGTCCCCCACATAGTTCCGGGCAAAGACCTGGTTTCCTGGGACAAATGACCGTGGTACGTTGGCACAGCCTGGGGGTTCAGCCACGGCAAAGTCTGGGTGTAGCCGGTCGAGCGGTGACCTGAGGCGGCGGCCCATAAGCAGTTCAGCAGGACTCCTCCCTGTGGCCGCATGAGGGGTGATGTGTTGCACGAACAAGTATTCGGCGACCCGCTCATGCCAGTCTCCCCGGTCCAGGCGCGCCAGTGCCTCTTTTGTCGAGCGCACCATTCTTTCCGCTTGCCCGTTGCTGGATGGATGAAAGGGTGCCGTTAGAGCATGGCGGATGCCCAGTCCCAAAAGATACCGCTCAAACGTGCCTGACGTGAACTGCGGTCCGTTGTCAGAGACAAGGACATCAGGACACCCATGCGTTGCAAACAGGCCTCGCAGCACCCGGATGACAGCTTCGGTAGTGGTGGAGGGCATCAGGGCGACCTCCAGCCATTTGGAATAGGCGTCCACCACTACCATAAAGGTCCGGCCGTGAAAGGGGCCAGCCAGATCGATGTGCACCCTCGACCAGGGTGTCTTTGGCGTCTCCCAGGTGTGTCCCTTAGCTGCCGGTGGTGCAGGCCTCGACTCCTGGCACGCTTGACAGGCGGACACCCAGGCAGTGATGGCATCGTCCATATTAGGCCACCAGACGTAACACCGAGCCAACGCCTTCATTTTGACAATTCCCGGGTGGCCAACGTGCAGAGCCTCCAGGACGCGCTGACGGAGTCCCTGGGGAATCACGACGCGGTCTCCCCACAGCAGGCAGCCGCGATGAGCTGAGAGTTCATGTTGTCTGGTTGCGAAGGGCTGGAACTCCGATGCAAAAGGCCCTTGTGGCCACCCCCTCCACACCCAGTTGAGCACCCGGCTGATGGTGCGATCCTGGGCAGATGCGGAGGCCACAGTGGCAGCCGATACAGGCGCTGCCGGAAGATCCTCAATCAGAAGGAGCGATGAAGCTGGAGCCGGGTCTTCCACAAATGCTGGAAGAGGGCAACGGCTGAGGGCGTCGGCATGGCCCATCGATTTCCCCGGGCGATGGATGAGCCGGTAGTGGTAGGCAGCCAGGAAAACAGTCCATCGCAGCATGCGTGGTGAGAGGACCGGTGGAGTTGGACGATCACCGGCGAGGAGGCCCAGGAGTGGCTTGTGGTCAGTGATGAGGTCAAAAGTCCTGCCATAGAGGTATTCATGGAACCTCTTCACTCCAGCCACAAGTGCCAATGCCTCCTTATCGAGCTGGCTGTAATTCCGTTCCGTCGGAGATAGTGTCCTGGAAAAGTAGGCGAGCGGTGCTTCTCTTCCATCTGGAAAACGGTGACTAAGGACAGCACCGATGCCAAAAGGTGAGGCGTCGCAGGCAAGGACCAGCGGCCTGGATTCACTGTACTGTACCAGCACACTGTCTGAAGAAAGGAGAGCCTTGACCGCGTTGAAGGCCGCCGTCTCCCGATGACCCCAGGCCCAAGGCGTCTTAGTGCTAAGGAGTCGGTGAAGAGGCTCAGCCACTGTGGCTTTGTGGGGCAGGAACATGTTATAAAAGTTCAGCAGCCCCAGGAATGCCTGCAACTCCGTTTTGTTCTTTGGGGTGGGGGCCTGCTGGATAGCGCGGATCTTGGATGCGGTTGGATGAAGACCAGAGGCATCGATAAGATAGCCCAGGAACTCTACCTGTGGAACGGCGATCTGGCACTTCTCCCTCTTTACCTTGAGCCCGGCCTCCTGGAACCTGGTCAGCACGGCACGGAGGCGCTCGAACAGCTGCTGGTGTGAGTCTGCAGACACCAAGACGTCATCAAAATATGGTACCACGCCCGGAAGCCCTTGCAGGAGACGCTCCATAAGGCTTTGGAAGATGCCAGGAGCCACACTCACCCCGAACTGCAACCGGCGGCAACGGAATGCCCCCCGGTGGGTGACGATCGTCTGGGCTTCAGCAGTGGCATCATCGACTGGCAGTTGTTGATAGGCTTGGGCAAGGTCCAGCTTAGCGAAGACCTTACCCTCACCCAGGGAATGCAGCAGGTGTTGGACAACAGGAACCGGATAAGCGTGCTGCTGAAGTGCCTTGTTGATCGTGCACTTGTAGTCAGCGCAGATTCTCACCGACCCATCTGGCTTGACAGGCGTGACGATGGGGGTTTCCCACTTTGCGTGGTCAACCGGCTCCAAAACTCCTTGGGCGATCAGTTTGTCCAGTTGTTCGTCCACCTTAGCCTTGAGAGCAAAGGGAACCCGGCGTGGCTTTAGCTTGATGGGGGCGACTTGTGGATCAAGGCTAAAGGAGATGGGCGTACCTGTATATTGGCCCAAGGTGCCGTCAAAAACCTCGGCAAAGTCTTTGACCAGACCCTCAGTCTCTGCGTTAGAGATGCAGTTGATGCCGGTGACTTCCAGGCCGAGGGCATCAAACCAGTCTAGCCCTAGGAGGCTTGGCCGCTGACCTTCGACCACCACCAACCGGAGCAGGCCCGAAAAATCCTTGAAGGCGATCCGGAACCGGCCAACGCCTACCACGGGAATGTCGTTTCCCTGGTAGTCTCTCAGGTGTACGCGGTGAGAGTCGAGTTGCCTTTTGGACACTCTGGGTACCAGTCTTTTGATGGTGCTCCATGACACGATGGACAGGGCAGACCCGGTGTCGATCTCCATGTCACATGGAGCTCCTTCAATGAGCACCGTGACGTTCAGCTTGCGTCGCGTAGGCGAGTCGGTTTGGCCAATCGTGGTTCCAGACGGGCAGCGGCAGTTGGTGAGAGCGAAACAACTTCCCTTGGCAGACTGGAGTGAAGACTTGGACTTGCGAGTCGATGAAGGGGGGGTGTCAGACGGAGCCGATCGGCAGACCTTAGCGATGTGGCCCCTTCTGGAACACTTCCTACAGATGGCGTCTCTGAATCGACACTTGGCACGGGAATGGTTGCCTCCGCAGCCAGCACATTCCGGTTGGCCCTTGGACTTCTGTTGGAACTTCCTGCGCTCCCGCTTTGTCTGGTGCACGTCATCGTCTTCACTGGAGGATGCCTCCTCACTGCTGGCCTCTTCATGATGCACCGGAACTGGCTCCCTAGCAAGACGCGGGCTGCTGGACTTGCGGATCTCCTGGGCGGAGCGTTCAGCAGCTTCTGAGGCCACAGCCTCCTCAATGGCTTTCTGTAGCGTGAGGTCTGGCTTGGCTAGGAGGCGCCGTTGCAGATGGATGTCCCGGACCCCGCAGACGATTCGATCCATCAGGGCATCGTCTAAGTCTCGGAACTCACAGTGCATTGCAGCCTGTCGCAGGGCGGTGGTGTAGTTGTTGATTGACTCCCCCTCTGCCTGGTTCCGGTGGTAGAACGCATGGCGGGCAGCAATCTTGGACGGCTTTGGTGCGTAGTGGTTGCGGAGCTTCTCTTGGATCGTGTCCCATGGTGTTGCCTGGACTGCTTCAGGCGCAACCAACGCTCGGGCCGTCTCAAACACCTCAGGCCCACAGAGGCTGAGGAATAGGCCCCGCTTCCGATCCTTTGATACTGCTGTCAGCTCGTTGGCTTGGAGGTAGCAGTCGAACCGAGCGAGGTAGGAGTCCCATGATTCAGAGGCTGGCGCAAACGGCGGTAGAAGCACAAGTGAAGCCATGATTCCGATGCCGGCGTGAAGGGCGATGGATGGAACACAGTGCTCTAGCCAGAACAGTCAGCTCTGAATTGGTTCTGCCCAGTGATTTCGCTCAGTGATTTCGCTCTGTGATTCAGCTCAGTGATTCAGCTCAGTTCAGAGGCTGGCCGCATCTGGCTGTGCTCTGATGTCCATCAATCCCATCCTCGTCGCCAGTGTTAGGTCGTGGGTTGACATAGCAGCCGGCACAGCGATTTCTTCAAGTAGCTCTTTATTATGGTAAGCTGGAATAGAACTGACTCCGAACAGCTCAGCCGGCCTGTATTTATAGGCAGCCGGCTGTCAACATTGTAACCACAACAGCTCAGAGTTCCCGCCTAAAATAACTGCCGCGGACCTGAGTGAAAACTATCTACAGACCTGAGTGAAAACTATATACAGTATCCCCCTGTTGGCCCAGGGTGAAACTACACTACATAACAGTTAAGGTTGGAATATCTCTTTAATGACTTTAAATCACTTCAAAGTGGTCACTGTTGTCTCTAGCAGTGAGTTCAAAGAATACTCATCCTAGCTAAATTGCTTTCACAGTAATAAGTAGTTAAACATACATAAGAGAACAGGGAGGAAACAGGATAGTCATGGGTGGGCAGGATATTATATTTTCCCACTCTCCCCCTACTCATTACAGGGATTGTTTATATAGCTCTCTAATGACTTTAAATCTCTTAAAAGTAGTCATTGCTGTCCTCCTACATGGACAAAGATGGAATGATTTATTATTGTTTAATATGGAGGAATGGTTGCTGAAGTTGATATGTTTGATTAGAGAAAAACCATTGCTGACATTTATTAATAATAGAGAACCCCTTTTGGACTTTTTGGGTGAAAGGGAAAATGAATGAATTTGAGACATTTGGATCTGGAGATTGGGAAAATATTGCTTAATACAAAGTCGTACAGTTGGATGTTGTGCTAGAGTGACTGTTTTGAATAATTTCTTTTATATAACTGACAGGAGGAAAATCAGAAGTCCCTTTTATTTATTTCTATTTCTTCTTTTTTATTTTATTTTATTTTGCTTTGTTTGAAAGAAAAAAAACCCCAATAAAGATCACCTATAATATGTTAATGCTACCATTTTCATTTTATTTATTGCAGGTATCGTACAAGTTTCAGACCTAAATATAAAATAACATATAAGACAGTAACAGAATTGGAATGGAGATGTTGCCCTGGATACATGGGTATAGATTGCAAAGAAGGCACACCCCAAAAGCCAAGGTCTGCTGTTTACCCAGCACAGCTACCAGCAGATGACATGAAGCCAAGCTTGGGTAATTCTTTTCTTGGAATTTTGGTATGCATGTCCCTGCCATAATTTTTCTTTTTGCTATGTTTGACACAGCACTTGCAGTCCAAAGTGTTTTATTTATTTCTCTGCCATTTATCAGTCTCATTAACCCTTTGAGGTAGGTTTTTGCAGGCCCAGTCACAGAGTCCATCCCACATGTACCCCAAAAATCTGGCCTGGAGGGTGCCCAAGCTTGCAGAGCTGTTTCTGAGGGTCTAGGAGGTTGTGGAGGAGACAGGAGAGGAAGAACAAGCATAGCTGCATGGACAGAAGTCCATGGAGTTGCAGTATTGGATGTGCATCATTGTATATATTTTTTAAAAAACCAGTATTTTTAAAGAACAGTCTATTAACCATATTGATAACATGGCAGTGACTATAAAGTTTTATTATCTGTTGGGTTCAAACCTAAGTTGACTGTTGTAGTATAGTATTATAGCAGTATAGCAAATTAACAGTATCGAGTTATAACACTTTACTTTTCTTTCATTAAAAAAGCCCTGAAAGCATTTCAGCAATAATTTGAAAAATGGTTTTTTTAAAAAAGGCTTTTTCTGCACAAAAGGTGGTAAACATATACCATCAGTCCTGGAAGTGTTCCAAGCTAAACCCCTAGCACAGTTATTATATGGGGCTCAGATTTGGACAGGCACTCACCTTAGATCTATGGAAGCTGTCAAATGAAAGTTCTTAAAGCAAATTTTCTCTGTACCACCCTGTGTCTCAAACACATCATTGCCCCTAGAGGCTTATCTTCCCTTGGTAGAATTACGGATTTGGCATAGGACATTTAACTATTGGCTTCACCTAAACTTAAATCCCCCCGGTCTAATATGCCTAGTGCTGCAAAATTGTCACAAGAGCGCCTGGGCTAAAATTGTCTATCAAAAACTTCACCACAACAGCTACTCACTTTGGGTTTTAGCAAAGCAAACAGTCAAATTTGTCAGTGCCTAAATGATATCAAGCATCAGAACCACTTGGTCACAATAAGGAAATTTTGCCCATGGTATGACAATTTTCCACCTACCCATTTCGACTCTCTGGCACCCTATCTGCATAACCCAGCAATTTTAAAATATAGACATGCTTTTACTCTCACGAGATTGAATGTATTGCCCTCAGCTGTATTTGAGGGACTATTTCCAACAGATTCCACACGAAAAACGCTTATGTCCCTGTGGAGATGGCAGTACTGAATTGGTGACGCATGCCCTTCTGGCTTGCACTCTTTATAAAGACTTGGGGAATGAGGTTCTCACCCCTCTTTTATTGTCCATTCCGGGTCGCCCAGCCACTGCCACAGTGTCCTTTCTCTTGGCAGATCATGATGAGCAGGTGACAGCAAGGTTTTTAGCTGGGGCAATTAGAATAAGATCCAGTATTTGACTATTGATTCAAAACCCTAAAATGTATTTTATATAATTAACTTCCCCCCCCTATTCTTTGTGTATCGTATTGTTGTATATCATGTTGTTTTACTGCTATGGCCAATGGCTGACGCAAATAAAGATCCATTCATTCATTCATAAATGGTGTGTGTGATGAAATGGCATTCACCAAAAGAGTTATAATGAATATGTGCTGAACTTAAAATGTCCTCACCCCAGCAGTGTGTGGGTAGAACATAGGATGTACACACAGAAAAAGTGCATTACTGCCAATAGTGTAGAATTTTAATTCCAATTTCATTTGCAGCTTACAACAAATGAACAGTGATTTGGTAGTGCTGGGGCCACTCTTTTGGAAGCAGCTGTAGTGTCCTTGAGCTTATTTTCAGATTTACAAGTTCAGTGATATTTTCAGAATGTTGTATGGAATGATTCTGTATTATAAGAATATGCGTTTGTTTTTTTAATGCTAGTGCTTGTCACTAACTTGATAAGTTAGTGATGACTTTTAAGCTACTGTGTGGAAACAGAGCCTAGAACCAAGAGCTGGGTGAGGGCTGTTTGTGCAGGTGAACATGCTTTCTTCTGCACAAGAAGCTTTTGCTAGTCTTTCTTTCTTTCAGAGCATATTCCATTTGGCAAGGCCAGTTGTAATACTCAGTTTGGATGAACTGGGGCTGGTTTTTCTTGATGTCATGTTGCAGGCATTTCTCCTTCATTGTCAGGAAAATGTTCAGGATTTAGGTGCAGTGGCCAATTTGCACAGCTGTAGCAAAAGATAATCAGTTTGATATGCAATATCCGCCCAAAGTACTGTGCATATTTCAGTATTTGAAAGGGCAGCTTAGGTTGCTTCCCTGTATAAGCTTTTTTTTGTGCTGACTCCCATGAAAGTACAGAATGATGGACTTGGGTCATAGTGAGATCAGCACAGATGATGCAGTCTCAAATCAGTATCATATTTTGTGTGTGCATTGATTGTCATATTCCTAGTCTGGTGGAAGAGTGGGGAATCTGTAACCCTTCACATATTGCTGGGCTACAACTCCCATTATCCTTGACCACTGTGCATCTTGACAAGGACTGATGAGAGTTAGATTTCAACAACATCCATCATCAGACTTCCTACCTTTGTATTAAAGCATAGAGCCAAATATAAAAGAAGTAATTCACTTTGAAGGAAAAACATGGGTGGGTGAGAAAGTTGTAAAGATTTATCCCTCTAAACCATCTAAGTCAATTTGGGGTTTTGTAACTTCAAGTTTAGTTTTAAATGCTGTTTCCACATTTTTTCTTTCTGCAGACACTAATCCAAAGCAAGAACAACAGGACTCGCAGGATAAAAGAATTCAGCTCCTTGAGGATGAAGTATTCCGCCTTACACAGACTGTGCTAGAGCTTCAGTCCTCCTTAACAGGTGTGAATGAAAACCTAAAGCTTTCTGTTCAAGAAGATGCAAGTCGGATGCTTGTATCATGGTTGAACAACCTTCATGACCGTCCAGAGCCTGACAGTACGGCTGAGGGTGATACAAAGAAAATTCATGTGTTTGAAAGTAAAGACCAAAAGGAACCTGGAATAGAAAATATAAAATCTGAACCAACAGAAGATGGATTGAAGGACAAAGATGACAAGGTGGAAGAAGTGAAAGCAAATGGCTATGAAGCACAATTAAAACAGCTCCAAGAAGCCGCCCAAGGCCCAACCGTAATGATGCCGAGTAGCCAGTTGTATCAGCAGTACATTGATGCTAGGTTTGAAGATCTGAGACAGGAGATTTTGGAAGGATTTGAGAAGAAAATGGCAGATCTGAAAAATTCCTGTGAGTACAAACTGATGGATATTCAACAACATTGTGATGATCATGAAGCCAGCTGCCAAGGAATAAGGGATCTTATTGGAGAGAAAGAAAATGACCTCAGAAAGGAGATAAAACATCTTCAGACTCTTATCCAAGCTCCATCAAACCACTCAGTTTGTTGCAGTAATGCTGAAACTGATGCTTTTGGACAGCAGCTAAAACATTTGGGTGAGAAGATTGACAGAACTGCAGAAGCAAATAGGATTTTAAATGCCAGAATAGATAATGAAATGAAATACATAGCCACTCCATATCTGGAAGGCAACTTTGATGCAAGATGGGAGGAAGTGGAAGCCAGGATCAATGTTACAGAGAGAAATGCTGAACAACACTGCTTTTACATTGAAGAAACTCTTCGTGGCGTTATAGCTACTGAAGTAGATGAAGCGAGAGACATATTTGACAAAAAGCTTCAGGCACTGGAAAACCGTCTGAGTGCTACTTTTCTAGATGTTACTAATATCACAAATCCAGATGAGAGAAATGTTGATCTATTATCAATTTTGCATAGCAATTCAGGGTCTGGAAATGAAAAGTTTGTCTCTGAGATAAATATTGTGAAGAACAAACTGCAAGATATTGAAAACCTTTGCAGGCAGAAATGCCAGCCGGTATCACACAATGTGGAGGGCCTCCAGAGAGACATAGAAAACTGCAACAGTAAATATGATGTATTGTTTTTGAAATCAGAGGGTAATTCTGGTCTTTTAAAATCCTTAAATGGCTCTTTAAGCGAGAAATTTAATTTAATTAAAGGCAGCCAACGTGACATTCAGAAGCTTCAAAAGGATTTACGAATTATTCGTTATGGTCTGAATGCTATTGATAAAAATGTTAAGAAACTTCAGGGTGGTTTGAGCAGCTGCAATGAACAACTTCTAGGTATCAATTCTACTTGTGAAAAGGTACAACTTGATGCTTTCAGAAAGGTAGATGAAATACAGAAAACAGTGGGCAATCAAACTCACACAGACAGTAATTGTTGTAATGACTTAAAGGATAGGATGGAACAGCTAAGCACGAAGCTATATTATAACCTGAACAAATGCCAAGAGAAATTGCCTGGTGTCTCTGATATGGAGGGTAGAGTGTCCAGTGTTGAAAAAACCTGCAGCAAACTAGATCAAGTGTCTAGCAGCCTCCAAAGGATAAGGGAGGGATTAAACAAACATGTCTCCAGTCTTTGGAACTGTGTCAATAAGATGAACAGAACTATAATTTCCCATTCTAAAGATATTTCTGGACTCAAGAATTCATCCCAGCAGTTCCACAGCCAGTTCCACAAATTCACCATTGACCTCCAGAATCTGATGAAAACTAAACCTGCTACATGTAAGTTAGCCTCCCTCTTTCTAGATGCTATTTTTAATTTTAAACAAGGTGACAACAGGGGTAAGCTAAACAGATTTTAAAAGAACAATGTACGTCATGGAGAGCAGACGGAATTGTGTTCATATTTTTACTTTCTACCTTTGTTTTTTAAATGTGGTTTACTGAAATCAAACATTTGGGGAGAATCCAATTTGAGTCAAATGCTGTACAATTTTTCTCTATACAGCATGACATCGCTTTATAGTAATACTGTTTTTTACAAGTTCTTGATCGGAATGTTTATAATGCATTAATTGAATCTATGAATCTAAATGTTTCTTTAACTATTTCTGGATATTCATATTCATGAAATGTTGCATGCAAACGGACAGAGAGCACCATTCTTTGCTCATGTACAGAGTGTTCAGGCTCAGACATGATCTCGCCCTACTTTCTGGGCAAACACAGCTGTGTGTGTGTGTGTGTGTGTGTGTGTGTGTGTGTATTTAGAGAACAGCTGATAGTGCTGAAGTCAATCCCTTCTGCCCTATCTATGGCACACTGAATGAGACAAAAGCTCCTAAATTCAGCATAGCTGGGCATCCCTTCAGGCAGATCTGTAGTAAAGAGATATCCCTTAGCTTTTAGAGTCCAGTAGTGCAGAACTGTATAGCTCTGCCCTGCCCTGCGCATTTCACAACTGATACCGCACAAGCTGTTGTGAAATAAGCTGCCATATTACAATTCAGTCAGATCTGAAGTGAAGTGCTTGCATCATAGGGCAAGCACACCGTCAGAGCATAGTGAGGAATCTGTCAAAACATTGCAGGCAGTGGAACTCCTAAATAGGAATGTACCGTATTTTTCGCTCTATAACACGCACCTGACCATAACACGCACATCGTTTTTAGAGGAGGAAAACAAGGGAAAAAACATTCTGAATGAAACAGTGGATGTATCATTTTTGTGCTTCATGCTGTGGCCACGGACATGTGATCTGATGGTGAATTTGGGGTGACCCAATGCAAAGATCCTGAGGATCCATGTAGATCCATGCTTTTTAACCACGTTTTTGCACCATTGCAGCCCCAGGCAACAGTGGGTGCGTGATTTTGGGGGGGCAGGCTGTAGCCATGGACATGCTATGTGATCTGATGGTGAATTTGGGGTGACCCAATGCAAAGATCCTGAGGATCCATGTGGATCCATGCTTTTTAACCACATTTTTGCACCATTGCAGCCCCAGGCAACAGTGGGTGCGTGATTTTTGGGGGGCAGGCTGTAGCCATGGACATGCTATGTGATCTGATGGTGAATTTGGGGTGACCCAATGCAAAGATCCTGAGGATCCATGTGGGTCCATGCTTTTTAACCACATTTTAAGTGGTGAGGGAAGGAAAAACACAGAATGGACAAGGAGCACGAGAGGGGTGTGCAGAGAAGCAGCTGGCTAAGAATGCAGGAGAGGGGTATAACGGGAGGGAGGAAAGGAAGGCAAAAGTTTTCCCTCACCTACCCACCCAAGCCAGCCAGCTCGCGCTCTCTCTCTCTCTCCCTCCCTCCTGCATGTTTTCAGCAGCACCGGAGCACAGAGACGACACTCTGCTTTCCCCTCTGCTTACCTGGAGGGGAGGGGCTTTCCCTGCTCTTTGCTCCGTTTGAGCAAACACAGCAAGGAATCAGAGGTGGGTGGGCAAGTAAGACCCTGAGGCAGAATGCAGGAAAGCAGCCGCTTCCTCTTTTCAGGTTTCCCTTCTCCGAGACGCGCGATTCGATTTTTGCCTGATTTTTTTTTGCCACTCCACCCTTATGGGGCGAATGCAGGCTTTCACTGAAGTCAGGAGAGCGAGAGGGGTCGGTGCGCACCGACCCCTCTCGCTCTCCAGGCTTCAGGAGAGCCCCAGCGCCAGCCCCACAAGGTCTCCCGAAGTGGTTTGGAGGCTGACGGCAGGGAGACTCCGCCGCCAGCCCCGCAAGCTCCGGGGACAGCTGGGAGACGCAGTGCGTCTTCCTGCTGTCTCCAGACCTGTTCTGAAGTCGGACTGCGGGGAGAAGAGCGCTTCTCCCCGCTGCCTGCCCCGCAAGCTCCGGGGACAGCTGGGAGGCACAGCGCGTCTTCCCGCTGTCCCCGGACCTGGTCTGAAGGCGGACTGCAGGGAGAAGAGCGCTTCTCCCCGCTGCCGGCCCCACAAGCGCCTGGGGGAAAATAATTTTTTCCCCTTTATTTCCCCCCCAAAAAACTTGATGCGTCCTATGGGCCGGTGCGTCCTATGGGGCGAAAAATACGGTATATATGACTGCAAGGAAACATCCCGCCCAATATGTGCATGCTGTTTGCTTTAATGATTGCCTACTACATTAAATGATGCTTGTGCCAGTTAGTGTGCAAAGGATTTCAGACTTACAAAGCAAATAGGTTTCAGAAAGTTTTGAGATGAAATGACAGCTGATACTGAAAATTGAGTAAGGATTCTTGGAGTACTAATAAACAAATTGTAGTAGGAAATCTCTGATAAAGTTTTTCAGAGGGGTAACCATGTTAGCAGCAAAAATGACAAAGTGTATTGTGGTACCTTAAAGACCAATGGATCTTGTCCTACTTGTGTATATGTGAGTTTGTGTCTGTCACCTTGGGAATCAACTTGAAAAACAAGCAGATGGTTCTCTGTGTCTGAATATCATTAAGTCAAACTGAAGTGTTCAGTATATGGCTGCAATAAACTGCATTTGAATGGGCAACCTTTAATCTTACATAGGTTAGTTTTAACTTCAAGCATAGGTCTATGAAAATATCTGACAACGTATTATATGACTTAAATGATTGCACTTTAGTTTGGCAGGCTCAAACCATAATTGTCTTCTTTTGATAATAATTTTCGTACTGATTATCAAACAAAACCTGTTAAATAATATATTCCAGTTGGAAATTCAAGCAGGGAAAAGGTGTGCTAATTTGCAGCCAAGAATATTCTAGCTCTGGCATCAGTTTTTACTTTAAGCAACATGGAGCCAAGGACATTTTTAATGAGTCAGTCCAGATGTATGTTGATGGCTTGTTGCTGTATAAGCCATGGGCCAAATCCTTATTTGGTTCTTAACTTATTCAGTGCTTCCCTGAAAGGTAGTGGGGTGCTTGCTTGGACACAGAAAGAATATTCAGTGCATTATGGACATCCTCCAACAGCATTAGAATGTCAGAGCCTACTCATGATGAGCAATTTTGTCCTAGGATCAAACTTACTGTCAGCTTCTCCAGTAGCTCACAACACAAAATTGCAATGAAGCTATCTTAAATTGGTAAAATACTAATACCAGCAGGGATCCACAGCACAATAAAGATATCTGTGTTATCTTCTGATCATCCCTGGGCCATAAAGCAGCATGGAGAGTTGTGTCCAATATAGTAAAGGCAAAGAGTGGAAGTAATGGCGACATTCACCTGAATTACATGGTATTGTTGGAAAACAAGCCCCCTCCGGAGAGGCTGGTCTCGGAGCTTGTTTACCGGTAATCTTCCTCTGGCTGACATCCTGGACAGACCAGGGAGATTTTGATAGGCGACATTTCCCAGCGTGGGAAAATGCACACCCCCTCCACTCTTGCATCCCAGCAAGGGAAAAGGAGATAGTCATCTATTTACATCTTGTTTATTTCTGACTTTACAGCACTACAGAAAACATGTCCGATCAGTTCAGACCTCTTCTAGCAAGACACTCAAACTTCCTTTACATACGCAACAGAAAGGTTTCATATTACACTCTTCACAAAGCTCTGAGAAGCCCGTGAACTTCTGGGAACATTCTTTCCCACAGCTGGTCACATCATGTGATGTAAACAAGCTATCAGTTTGCAGCTGCGTTGCTCTCATATTCTGACAGGTATATGTGGCAGCTATTTTGTGCATATCCAATTGGCATGCGACTCATGGGTCCTTTTGGACCTGGAAGAGGTCAGGATGGGGCGGGAAAGGGTGTAACAGGGAAGGGCAGACTTACGTGTACTCCAGTGATGTTTGCAGGGGCCAGGAACAGAACCCCATGCAAAATGGTTGCCGCCTGTACTTCCATGCAGGAGTTACCAGAGGGCCATGATCCAACCATAACAGGCGTGTCTCCCATGCTGTTCTGATAACAAATGAAATGGGCTACAATTAAGGTAGAGAAAGTCAGGAAAGCCATCAATGCATCTCAGTGTTCCTTCTGCAAATAGGACTGCATTAGAGGAGCCTAAGTCTACTGCTGTTACATTTTCCTTTATGCTCTCTTTATTGAATTCATCAGTAATGCTGGAAATGGATGGACACTTAACTTTGATGGAGGATAAAATTACAATTGTTGATTGCCTAGTACTGTTACAGATTTTAGTTTTATTACTAACTTAGACTTCCTAGTATCCCTGCTTTGCATGAACCAAAGTGTAGAATCTGATGAAACCACTGATAATCATAATGAAAAAGAATATTTAATTAGGAACAGAAGGTAAGATGGCTGTGAAATTCTGCAGTCTGATGGAGGAGTAGCCAATGTGGTGCCCTCCAGATGTTGTTGGACTATAACACTCATCAGCCCTTGTCAGCATGGCCAGTGATCAGCTGAAGGCCAGCATCCAGATGGCACTGTGTTGGGTACCCCTGGGCTAGAGGTTTTTGGTTTTTTTAAGGCGGTATAGTGGAACAAGGTTTTATGGATAAATGTGCGCCTGAATTGTTTCTATTGCATGTTAGAGATTTTCTCTTGCAAAGCATGGCATATGCTTTGCTGATGTGGTGCATAGGTTTTGGATTAACTGTTGCTAACTCAAGTCATTAATCTTCTATATTTTGTATAAATGGAATGGGTGAATCACTAGCTTTTAGTTTTGTCCCCTGTTCTAGTTTCTTCTTAAAGGAAATCATATTTTTTCACACACACAAAAAGTCAACAATTTTGATTTTAGCACAGTTTTCTTTGTACCTCGCATACCTCATCACATTAATAAAAGTTGTGGGCCAAGAAACAGAGGTTTAAATCTGAAGGTAGCTT